GGAGAGCGAAGTCGGAATTCCGACCTTGGGTGGCGCGGGCTTGGCAGGCTGGAGGCTTCGATGACGGGCAGCCGGCTGGAGGCTTCGATGCCGGGCAGGTGGCGCGGCGCGGCAGGCTTCGATGCCGGCAGGTGGCGCGGGAGGCTTTGATGCCGGGCAGGCGGTAGGGCGGAGGCTTCATTGCTGAGTCAATAGTGAGTCAATTTTGAGTCATCTTGAGTCAACAATGGATCAACATTGAAGCAATATTGGGTCAACAATGGATCAACATTGACAAGCAAGCTCTCTCTATGTTGCCAAAGCAGACTTCTTGGCAGAGCACACTTCCTCTTCTTTGCAGAGCACTCTTCTTTGCAGAGCACACTTCTTTGCGGAGCAGACTTCCTCTTCTTTGCAGAGCAGACTTCAGCATCTTTGCAGAGCACACTTCTTTGCAGAGCACACTTCTTTGCAGAGCACACTTCCGCTTCTTTGCAGAGCACACTTCTTTGCAGAGCACACTTGCGCTTCTTTGCAGAGCGCACTTGCGCTTCTTTGCAGAGCACTCTTCTTTGCAGAGCACACTTCCTCTTCTTTGCAGAGCACACTTGCGCTTCTTTGCAGAGCACACTTCTTTGCAGAGCACTCTTCGCACACTTCTTTGCAGAGCACACTTCTTTGCAGAGCACTCTTCTTTGCAGAGCACACTTGCGCTTCTTTGCAGAGCACACTTGCGCTTCTTTGCAGAGCACTCTTCTTTGCAGAGCACACTTGCGCTTCTTTGCAGAGCACACTTGCGCTTCTTTGCAGAGCATTTTTCTTTGCAGAGCACACTTCTTTGCAGAGCGCACTTGCGGTTCTTTGCAGAGCACACTTCTTTGCAGAGCACACTTGCGCTTCTTTGCAGAGCACACTTCTTTGCAGAGCGCACTTGCGCTTCTTTGCAGAGCACACTTCTTTGCAGAGCACACTTGCGCTTCTTTGCAGAGCACTCTTCTTTGCAGAGCACACTTCCTCTTCTTTGCAGAGCGCACTTGTTTGCAGAGCACACTTGCGCTTCTTTGCAGAGCACACTTCTTTGCAGAGCACGCTTGCGCTTCTTTGCAGAGCACACTTGCGCTTCTTTGCAGAGCACACTTCTTTGCAAAGCACACTTCTTTGCAGAGCACACTTGCGCTTCTTTGCAGAGCACTCTTCTTTGCAGAGCACGCTTCCTCTTCTTTGCAGAGCACACTTCTTTGCAGAGCACACTTGCGCTTCTTTGCAGAGCACACTTCTTTGCAGAGCACACTTGCGCTTCTTTGCAGAGCGCACTTCTTTGCAGAGCACACTTGCGCTTCTTCGCAGAGCACACTTGCGCTTCTTTGCAGAGCACACTTCTTTGCAGAGCACTCTTCTTTGCAGAGCAGACCAAGCTCTCTCTTTAGAGGGAGTTTCCCAAATGGATTCTATTCCACCTGGTAGGCTCCTGACACTCGTCCGTCCAGGAAACAACCTCGTCCTGCGAAGGATTCGAAATCTAAAACGCTGCGTGCAGGCGTGTGGCTGCAACATAACGACCCCGAGATATGCGCCGCAATTTGCCTCCAGGTTGCATTCCAAGCGATGTCAAGCTTTGCCAAAGGAAACCCCTTTTCCTTTTTTTTCGGGACCCCTTTTTTCGGGACCCTTTTTTCATTTTTTGTTTTTTCCCCGAACGCATGGCGAAGGGTTCTTCCGCTGGGTTCACTTGAGTTGTTCTCATGAGAGTCATTACAAGGTGTCATTGCAAGGAATCATCATCATGAAAGTCAATGCAAGGAGTCATTGCAAGGAGTCATTGCAAGGAGTTATTGCAAGGAGTCAGTGCAAGGAGTCATTGCAAGGAGTCATTGCAAGGAGTCATTGCATTGCAAGGAGTCATTGCAAGGAGTCATTGCAAGGAGTGCAAGGAGTCATGGCAAGGAGTCATTGCAAGGAGTCATTGCAAGGAGTCATTGCAAGGAGTCATTGCAAGGAGTCATTGCAAGGAGTCATTGCAAGGAGTCATTGCAAGGAGTCAGCAAGGAGTCATTGCAAGGAGTCATTGCAAGGAGTCATTGCAAGGAGTCATTGCAAGGAGTCATTGCAAGGAGTCATTGCAAGGAGTCATTGCAAGGAGTCATGAGAGTCATTGCAAGCTGCGCATGGACAAGTGCAAGTTGCAGGTGCAAGGAGTCAAGTGCAAGTTGCAAGTGCAAGGAGTCAGGTGCAAGTTGCAAGTGCATGGAGTCAAGTGCAAGTTGCAAGCAAGGAGTCAAGTGCAATTGACTTGCGAGGAGTTAAAATCTCTTCTTAGGGCGGCGGGGTAGTGCCGACGACGCTACACGAAAATCGACCCTGCGGGGATCGGCGTGGTCGAGGTGCAAAAACCCAAGGTTTTTTGCGATTTCTAACCTGCTCGCGCGACCCTCTGCGGGATCGGCGTGGTCGAGGTGCAAAACCCATGGTTTTTTTGCGATTTCTGCGCTGCTCGCGCGACCATCTTCGGGGATCGGCGTGGTCGAGGTGCAAAAACCCATGGTTTCTTGCGATTTCTAACCGCGATGGTTTTTTTTGCGATTTCTGCGGTGCTCGCGCAACCCTCTGCGGGAATCGGCGTGGTCGAGGTGCAAAAACCATGGTTTTTTGCGATTTCTAACCTGCTCGCGCGACCCTCTGCGGGGATCGGCGTGGTCGAGGTGCAAAAAACCATGGTTTTTTGCGATTTCTGCGGTGCTCGCGCAACCCTCTGCGGGAATCGGCTCGGGAGTTGTCTCGTGGTTCGCGCGCCTGCTCCCGGAACCGGCGGGTCGCGGGTTCGATTCCTCCCTGGTCCGCGGGCGGGCGTCGCAAGATGCAACTTGCATTTTACAGCAACTTGCGCAGAGCAACTTGCACCGACCAGTTTGCGCAGAGCGCCTTGCCTAGAGCAACTTGCGCAGAGCAACTTACGCAGAGCAACTTGCACAGAGCAACTTGCACAGAGCAGCTTGCACAGAGCAACTTGCAGGGAGCGCAATTTGCACAACTTGCGCAGAGCAACTTACGCAGAGCAACTTTCACAGAGCAACTTGCACAGAGCAGCTTGCACAGAGCAACTTGCAGGGAGCGCAATTTGCACAGAGCAACTTGCAGGGAGCCACTTGCAGGGACCAACTTGCCGGAGCAACTTGCGCGGAGCAACTTGCGCAGAGCAACTTGCACAGTGCAACTTGCGTAGAGCAACTTGCGCAGACCAACTTGTGCAACGACCAGTTTGCGCAGAGCACCTTGCCTGGTGCTGTCTCGCGCCACTTGACATATTGCAACTCGCGCTGAGCAACGTGCTGGTGGAGCCACTGCAGGGACCAACTTGCCGGAGCAGCAACTTGCGCAGAGTTTGCGCAGAGCGCCAGAGCAACTTGCACAGTGCAACTTGCGTAGAGCAACTTGCGCAGACCAACTTGCACCGACCAGTTTGCGCAGAGCACCTTGCCTGGTGCTGTCTCGCACCAACTTGCACACACTGCAACTCGCACAGAGCAACTTGCGCAAAGCAACTTGCGCAGAGCAACTTGCGCATGTGCCAGGCCGGGGTTAAACAAGTTTGCCGCACCGTGGGGAGTTATGCTTTCAGGCCACTCACCCTGTAGGAGTTTGACGCAAGGAGTTCTCATCATGACAGAAGTTGCGGGGAGCGTGGCGCACACGGCTTATTTACGGGCATGGCGCACACGGCTGGTTGTTATGTGGCATCTTGCGGATGATCATCGAGATTTGGCTCAAACAGAAGTCATGGAGCTCGAAGTAGCTAGGCTTCAGGCTGGCGCGGCCCAGCATGGCAAAGCGTGGCTGCAGCAAGAGGTGGCGGCCAAAGCCCGACCCCAACTTCGCGCACTCGCCCGACAGCTGGATGTGCGCCAACGCGTCGCAGGCAGCAACGTGACCAAGGCAGACCTAGCTGCCGCTGTCGTGGAGCAGCTGTGCCCACAGGCCAGGATCGAAATCTGGAAAGTTTTGCTGATTTGCTGTGCTGATTGTTGCCAGGAGCCAAGCAGTTCTGCGGCTTCGCCGACGCCGGTGTCTCGACTTGGTCGTAGTCGGTGGTTGACGCTATTGTTTTTGATGATGTTTTGCGGATGGCCGAAATGTAAGCACCAGATGGCACCATGTCGTGTTTCTTACGGACGGGTTGCCTCATCTCATGGACAGCGCAGGACGAGGCAGAGCTTGTCGTGGCGACGCTTCGCGCTGGTTTGTCGGAGAAGGGTAAGGCGTGGCTCCAGCAAAAGGTGGCGGCCAAAGCCCAACCTCAACTTCGCGCGCTTGCCCGACAGCTGGATGTCAACGGGTCTCAGGCGGCAAAGTGACCAAGCAGGTCAGGGTCGAAATCTGGAAAGTTTTGCTGGTGTTTGTTTTGCTGCGCTGATTGTTGCCAGGAGCCAAGCAGTTCTGCGGCTTCGCCGACGCCGGTGTCTCGACTTGGTCGTAGTCGGTGTTTGACGCTATTGTTTTTGATGATGTTTTGCGGATGGCCGAAATGTAAGCACCAGATGGCACCATGTCGTGTTTCTTACGGACGGGTTGCCTCATCTCATGGACATGGCAGGATGAGGCAGAGCTTGTCGTGGCCACGCTTCGTGCTGGTTTGTCGGAGAAGGGCAAGGCGTGGCTCCAGCAAGAGGTGGCGGCCAAAGCCCAACCCCAACTTCGCGCGCTCGCCCGACAGCTGGATGTGCGCCAACGGGTCGCAGGCGGCAAAGTGACCCAGCAGACCTAGCTGCCGCTGTCGTGGAGCAGCTGTGCCCACAGGCCAGGATCGAAATCTGGAGAGTTTTGCTGGTGTTTGTTTTGCTGTGATGATTTTTGCCAGGAGCCAAGCAGTTCTGCGGCTTCGCCGACGCCGGTGTCTCGACTTGGTCGTAGTCGGTGTTTGACGCTATTGTTTTTGATGATGTTTTGCGGATGGCCGAAATGTAAGCGCCAGATGGCACCATGTCGTGTTTCTTACGGACGGTTGCCTCATCTCATGGACATGGCAGGATGAGGCAGAGCTTGTCGTGGCCACGCTTCGTGCTGGTTTGGCGGAGAAGGGCAAGGCGTGGCTCCAGCAAGAGGTGGCGGCCAAAGCCCAACTTCAACTTCGCGCGCTCGCCCGACGGCTGGATGTGCGCGAACGGGTCGCAGGCAGCAACGTGACCAAGGCAGACCTAGCTGCCGCTGTCGTGGAGAAGCTGTGCCCGCAGGCCAGGATCGAAATCTGGAGAGTTTTGCTGGTGTCTGTTTTGCCGTGCTGATTGTTGCCAGGAGCCAAGCAGTTCTGCGGCTTCGCCGACGCCGGTGTCTCGACCTGGTCGTAGTCGGTGTTTGACGCTATTGTTTTTGATGATGTTTTGCGGATGGCCGAAATGTAAGCACCAGATGGCACCATGTCGTGTTTCTTACGGACGGTTGCCTCATCTCATGGACATGGCAGGATGAGGCAGAGCTTGTCGTGGCCACGCTTCGTGCTGGTTTGTCGGAGAAGGGCAAGGCGGGGCTCCAGCAAGAGGTGGCGGCCAAAGCCCAACCCCAACTTCGCGCGCTCGCCCGACGGCTGTGCGCCGATGTGTCGCAGGCAGCAGCGTGACCCAGGCAGACCTAGCTGCCGCTGTCGTGGAGAAGCTGTGCCCACAGGCCAGGATCGAACTCTGGAGAGTTTTGCTGGTGTTTGTTTTGCTGTGCTGATTGCTGCCAGGAGCCAAGCAGTTCTGCGGCTTCGCCGACGCTGGTGTCTCGACCTGGTCGTAGTCGGTGTTTGACGCTTTTGTTTTTGATGATGTTTTGCGGATGGCCGAAATGTAAGCACCAGATGGCACCATGTCGTGTTTCTTACGGACGGTTGCCTCATCTCATGGACATGGCAGGATGAGGCAGAGCTTGTCGTGGCCACGCTTCGTGCTGGTTTGGCGGAGAAGGGCAAGGCGTGGCTCCAGCAAGAGGTGGCGGACAAAGCCCAACCCCAACTTCGCGCACTTGCCCGACAGCTGGATGTGCGCCACTGGGTCGCAGGCAGCAACGCGACCAAGGCAGACCTAGCTGCCGCTGTCGTGGAGAAGCTGTGCCCACAGGCCAGGATCGAAATCTGGAGAGTTTTGCTGGTGTTTGTTTTGCTGTGCTGATTGTTGCCAGGAGCCAAGCAGTTCTGCGGCTTCGCCGACGCCGGTGTCTCGACCTGGTGGTAGTCGGTGTTTGACGCTATTGTTCCCGAAAGCATGGCGAAGGGTTCTTCCGCTGGGTTCACTTGAGTGGTTCTCATGAGAGTCATTACAAGGTGTCATTGCAAGGAATCATCATCATGAAAGTCAATGCAAGGAGTCATTGCAAGGAGTCATTGCAAGGAGTCATTGCAAGGAGTCATTGCAAGGAGTCATTGCAAGGAGTCATTGCAAGGAGTCATTGCAAGGAGTCATTGCAAGGGATGTGATGATTCGGCCCCTCTCCTGCTAGATTTCGCTCCGATCTCCGCCCCGGGATTCTATCACTTGTTCATTGCAAGGAGTCATGAGAGTCATTGCGAGCTGCGCATGGAGTCAAGTGCAAGTTGCAAGTGCAAGGAGTCAAGTGCAAGTTGCAAGTGCACGGAGTCAGGTGCAAGTTGCAAGTGCATGGAGTCAAGTGCAAGTTGCAAGTGCATGGAGTCAAGTGCAAGTTGCAAGTGTAAGGAGTCGAGTGCAAGTTGCAAGTGCAAGGAGTCAAGTGCAATTGACTTGCGAGGAGTTAAAATCTCTTCTTAGGGCGGCGGGCTAGTGCCGACGACACTACACGAAAATCGACCCTCTGCGAGGATCGGCGTGGTCGAGGTGCAAAAACCCATGGTTTTTGCGATTTCTAACATGCTCGCGCGACCCTCTGCGGGGATCGGCGTGGTCGAGGTGCAAAAACCCATGTTTTTTTGCGATTTCTGCGGTGCTCGCGCGACCCTCTGCGGGGATCGGCGTGGTCGAGGTGCAAAAACTCGAGGTTTTTTTGCGATTTCTGCGGTGCTCGCGCGACCCTCTGCGGGGATCGGCGTGGTCGAGGTGCAAAAACCCATGGTTTTTTTTGCGATTTCTGCGGTGCTCGCGCGACCCTCTGCGGGGATCGGCGTGGTCGAGGTGCAAAAACCCATGTTTTTTTGCGATTTCTAACCTGCTCGCGCGACCCTCTGCGGGGATCGGCGTGGTCGAGGTGCAAAAACCCATGGTTTTTGCGATTTCTGCGGTGCTCGCGCGACCCTCTGCGGGGATCGGCGTGGTCGAGGTGCAAAAACTCGAGGTTTTTTGCGACTTTTGTTGTTCGAACTGGTCCTCGGGAGTTGTCTCGTGGTTCGCGCGCCTGCTCCCGGAATCGGCGGGTCGCGGGTTCGATTCCTCCCTAGTCCGCGGGCGGGCGTTGCAAGATGCAACTTGTATGTTAAAGCAACTTTCGCAGAGCAACTTGCGCAGAGCAAGTTGCACTGAGCAAGTTGCACAGAGCAACTTGCGCAGACCAACTTGCACCGACCAGTTTGCGCAGAGCGTCTTGCCTAGAGCAACTTGCGCAGAGCAACTTGCGCAGAGCAACTTGCGCAGAGCAACTTGCACAGAGCAACTGGCACAGAGCACCTTGCCTGGCGCTGTCTCGCGCTTGCTTCACGAATGCTTCGTGTAGGGAAAAAGAACGCATCCTGCAGCGTTGGGCCGACCTCGCTTGCGATGTTCTGCTTTCGGGCCAACCGTGGTCTAGTTCTTAGCCCTGCAAAGGTTGGCTCGCTTCAAATGCAACCTGGAGCCAAATTGCAAGCATATCTAGGGGTCGTTATGTTGCAGCCACACGCCTGCACGCAGCGTTTTAGATTTCGAATTTTTCGCAGGACGAGGTCGTTTCCTGGACGGACGAGTGTCAGGAGCCTACCAGGTGGAATAGAATCCATTTGGGAAACCCCTCTAAAGAGAGGGGTAAGGCTCCCCCCGTCGGCCCGCGCCGGAACTATGATGGCGGCCATTAGGACGAAGTTTGAGGTCACGCTCAAGTGCTCCCGTTTCTCCAAGTTGAACTGGCGTGGGCAATTTGCTGACTGCTCCCTCGCAGCAGCTTGATCGCCCAATAAACCTGGTGTACACCCGGAGGCCTGCCCGGCCCACTGGGAAGCTTTTGTGCCGGAGCTGCGTGCAAGCTGGACTGGACTTGTATGGACGACTACCACCCTGCCACTGCTGTGGGCAGAGGGCTGTGCCTTTGCGGCGCACGATTTCGGTGAACGCACAAAGAAAGAGAATGGCATTTGTCTGACAGGCCCAAATGTCAGCTCCGTCGCCAGCTGGCGCTCAATGATGAGGTGGTACCACCGGGCACGGGCCTGCGTTGGAGGAGAAGAAGGGAATT